ACAATACGATTTACTATATATTTAGTGGCAATTATTATTGGAAATGGGATTCAACTCAAACTCATCCAGAAATTCAAAGAATTGAAAATTTAATACCGGATTTGCGAAACATTGACACAGTTTTTGTGGATTTAATAAAATCAGAAATTTTTGTCGTAAAAGGAGACCAATTCACCACTTTTTCGGATAACAAGAATGAATTAAAACAATGGACAAAACTCTCGACTCTCTTCCCTAATAGTGAATACCCTTTGGATGCCATCGATTGTGACCGTACTTACAGTGAATGCTATTTATATAAAGTTTGTGTTTTTATTTTATAGTTTATAAAATTAATTTACTTATAATTTAATTGCCATTTGTATTAAAGGGCGATAAAAGGAAATTGTATTCAAAGGATTTGAACAATAAGTTTGTGTTTAAAGACGAAACACTACTCAATAGTGTCGGACTTCCGGACAATTTGGACGCGGGTTTTACCGATGAAAACGGGGATCAGATTTATGTCAAAAACAATTATCTCTTTTGGAAAGAATACGGAATTTTTAGGCAACAAATAATTCAACACTTCATTCAATGCCCCGAAAATTACTACAAAAATTTAGCGGTTATTGAATTGAATTCGCGGCAAAAGTTTAGTGAAGACATCAAAAAATATGATGTCATTAATTTCAAAGAGCTTACTATACCGGCGCCGACTACACCCATACCCACGACTCCTGTGACCACTGAATCTCCCGATACAACACAATTCACATTCCCGTCACAAACCTCTCCCACGCCTACGAAAGACATATACACTAATTATATTATAATTGGTTGTAAAGCACTAGTAATTGATTAAATTTTCAATTATTAATTTCATTATTAATTCAATTCTTAGCTGTGATCGTATTGTTAGTTATTTTCATTTTGGTTGTCGTAATCTTTGTGTTTATCATTTGGTTTTGTTGTTGTCTGACATCAGATCCGGAAGAAGAGAAAGCGTTAAGAAAAGAAAAGATTCGGTCAAAACTGGACGCCATTAAAGAGAGACAATCGTCGGCCAAAGTTGATGTCCAAAGTTCACCACAAAAAACATTAAAATTGTAAAATGATTTGTATTTTTTGTTTCAATATTTAAGTTTTCATATGTTTTCATAATTCTATTATTTTGTTTGTTATTTATTTCTATTTTTTAAATTCTGTTTTTATTTTATGATTAAATATTAATGCAATTTTTGAATATTAAAAATTAGCTCAAAAATTTTAACTTCAATGCCAAGACTATAATAATAAATGAATGAAAACAATATACTTGAAATTAATTTAAATGTTAACTATTTTTATTGTTATTTTTACATAACGTAATATGTTAAATAAATATATTATTTTCTTATCGCGTTATTTAAATTTGTTAACGAATTTATAAATAGTTTTCAAATTTCACACATATTTTACAAACGAATAAAAGTGTTTTTTAGAGTTTTATCATTTTGTGTTAAATCACATAATTAGCGATTAATTGATTTAAAACCACAAAATGAAAGCAACATTCAGTGCATTACTACCGCTTGTATTGAGCATCCATTTAGCATTAAGTGCCCCGACATCTCATATCGACGATATTATGCTCAGGTATTGATTAGATTATTATTTTTAATTACAATATAATTAGTAGTAAAAGTAACATTGATTTTGCCATAACAGCAAATGCAAGCAAACCGGGACAGATATTATTCCCAAAGCCATAGTTGGGTTACGCAACCAAACAGTGCTCACATTTGACCGCATTTGGGTATTTCCCGTCCGATTCAATGCCACCACTAATCGGGTTGTGTCGGCCGTCGGCACCAACCGGTCGTTAGGCTCATTGGAAATCCCAAATAACATTGAATACGATTCCCATCTTTACGGCCAACTCTTCTCGGCGTCGATGGTATTGAA